TACAACCTCCTTTCAGGTAGTTGTAGAGAGGGATAAGGAGGAGCCTTGGCCTCTTTTTCTCCAGGCTAAACAACCTCAGCTCCTTCAGCCGCTCCTCATAAGACTTGTGCTCTAGACCCTTCACCAGTTTTGTTGCCCTTCTTTGGACACGCTCCAGCACCTCAATATCCCTCTTGTAGTGAGGGGCCCAAAACCGAACACAGTATTCAAGGTGTGGTCTCACTTGTTATTCTTGTGGTATGTTTACCTGGTTCTTCAAACCTCAGCTCCATCCTCCAAAATCAAATATTTTCTGCTTGAATTATTTTGAGATCAATTTTTATAGACTGTGGAAATATGTCTAGTTTGCATAAACACAAACATGAGCTGAAAGATTTTTGCAAGTGTATAGTTTTAATACAACTGCAAGATTGTCTGTTGAACTATGAGATTCTTCATTACAATATTTAAGCAATTTTGAAGTAATTTCAGTTGGCAGAACCGCTGCATGGTTGAGCTTCGTATTTCTTTTGCTCTTCTCCCTTCCCAGGTAGTTATGATAAATACACATGCTTTTTACTGCTCCAATTTTTTCCCTGCAAAGTAGGGTCTACAGGAGGAATGCGTAGACCCTTCAGTTTGGCTTTATGCCATTTTAGGAAGATCTTTATGACAAAGCTATTCCACAGGTGGTAAATATGCCCACTGGAATTCTGCCATGGGAACAGTGTTGCAGAATTGTACTAGACTGATGAGTCAGGCCTCGCATCTTTCTGAAGAGACTAACAGCCTGCCAGTTATTATGTTACTACTATCTACTTGCTTATTTGTCTTATTGTTCCGGAAAGAAGAAAAGCTGCTTGCTCAAAGACCTATAGTTCAAATCATAATAAAGCAGGACTCTGAAAAGAAAGAGGGAATAAAAAAGAACAAGGGAATAAAAAAAAATTAAGTTGCTGCTGAGTCTTGATGGACTGAAGGACTCTAGCTTCACTAAAGCTTCATTAACTAAAACTAATGTGACAACAATAACACACCTGCTGCCATTGTAGTGGTGAGAAGATAGTTCCATGTGCTTGTTGGGAACTGTGAGTACCAGAGCTGTTTACAGAGCAAAGCATGCTGAGAAATCTTATGGGTATTAACCATTCTTGCTCACTTTTGAAATAGGTCACTTTTTAGCAAGTGGCCTAGAAGTGAAAAGCTTTGTTCTTAACATCAGTTCTGTGAGTCATTCCATTTCCCCCCCCCCCCCCATATTGGTTAATATAATTTAATTTCTCTCTCTGCATCTATCATAAGAGAATCTGGGGGAAAGCGTTGCTTTTCTCCGTGCTTGCAAATTATTTGATATAATTTGTTTGAGATCTCCTTCTTTCATGGTGTTTTCTTAAAATTAGAACCAAATTAAATGTGTTCCTAGCCATTGCAGAATACATTGATTAGAGCTGAATTATGCTCAGTTGTGATCTACATTGAAATTTGCATGACACATCTCTCCTGGAGTGAAACTAAAAGGGAATTTGAATCGTCCTTTCCAAAGAATACAGTCCATTAACCATTAAATCCAATAAGCTGTGGTCAATATTTAGAACGGATGAATGTGTAGATTTAATGAATGATGCAGCTATTAGAATAAAAGTCTCAAGTACTTACCTAATCTGTGCTAACTGAATAGTCTATGTCTATTAAAGGATAATTAATGACAAGCACCTCTTTTTGTTTCCTTTTCTTATTTGTGTTGTAACAGTCTCCACAGTACCCAGTTTCAATCAACACAGCATCCTTGATTATGAAAGTAAATACTGTAAGATCTTGATTAGGAAAATATGTGTGTTTAGTATGACCATTGTGAGCATTTGCAGTGATTTACATATGTCCGTTTATATGCAAAAAGGTAGAATGAGTATATGTGTTTTCAGGGGCTAAGGTGGCAGATGCCTACTTTTGCAAACCCACAGTGGCAAGTTCAAGCCTTCTGGTCTCACACAGGTGACCGTTTTCAGCCTCATAAGCTGTAAATGGGCATTCGAACATCAGACTGAAAGGTGGCTGGTATGAAGTGTTATGGGTTGTTGCCCGTAAATGG